TTGTTTCACCAAAGCCATGTAAGCAGAAGAAAGTCAGGGAAGTTTCTCACAGGCCACCTGAGCCAAACCCAAGAGAATCAAGAGAAGGTTTCCCAACTTGGCTTGAAGGGGAACCTCAGTCCGAATCACTTCCATCCTGTTTTGCTGAGTCAACTGCTGATGCCAAGTTCTCCTCCTGGCCTCTTAGCCTCTCTCCTACAAAGGAAGCAGAGACACCCCTTCAGCATTCATCATAGTTACATCATTTTAAGCAATGTGTAGAGAATGAAAAGCATCACCTCACAATGTAGGCTACAAGCTTTCCTCCCTCCCTCTCTTAGGGAACTGCAGCATCATGGTTACAGGACTGAATGCACAGAGTTACCCAAACAGTCCCAGCAAGTAGGACTCCAGTATAAACAGGTCTAGGGATTCTCTAAGCAAGTAGCTTAGTGCTTCTTGCTGTTGCCTTCCTTATCATGAAGTAGAAGGATGCAGGGTACAGAACAGCACCAAAACTTCTTGGAGATACGATATAGCCTAAAGATAATAAAGGTCTTTTCTGTTCCTTATTACATTTCTAACCCACCTTCATTCTATGGAGTATAAACCAATATAGACTGTTCTCTCCCTAATACCCACAACCACCCTGAAGGTAAGTCAGGGTAAAACAGTGCAACTCACTCAAAAGTTATAGGAATATCTGGTATTTATGTTAAGCAGAGTACAACAGGGCTAGGGCACTATGAACTTGTTGTGATAGAGATGGGAGTAATTATTCTGGATTCTCTAAATCCTAGAATTGGAAAAGACTCCAATGGCCAGCCAGTCCAAACCCATTCTGTCATGCAGGACCACACAATCCAAGTACTCCTGACAGACAGCCATTCACCCACTGCTTTAAAACCTCCAAAGGAGACTTCACCACACTTTGAGGCAGCCTATTCCACTGTTGAACAGTTCTTACCAGCAGGAAGTTCTTTCCAAAATTGAGATGGAATCTTTTCCTGCAGTTTGCATTCATTGCTCCATGTCCTAGTCTCTGGAGCAGCAGAAAACAAGCTTGCTCCATCCTCAATATGACATCCTTTCAAATATTTAAACATGCCTATCATGTCACCCCTTAACCTTCTCTTCTCCAGGCTAAACATACCCAGCTCCCTTAGTCCCTTTTCACAGAGCTTGGTTTCCACACCTTTCATCATTTTGGTTGTAAGGTAAAAAAAACAAAAACAAAAAACAAAACTTACATTTATTGCCTCGAGAAATCTATCTTAAGATAGGAAAGGAAATGGACAAAGAAGATGACCTATGCTTGGTTGGAAGAGCCCCTAGAAGTAAAAGCCTTGGGGTAGCAAAAGCATTGTACATAAAGCTGGCAGCCATTATTGGCGTTGGATCCCCAGGGATACTTCCTTCCCAGACAAAGTGGACAAAGAGACTAGAAAACATATTGAAGAAGGAAGACAAGATGTCTGCAGGTATGTAGGCAGCAAAAGGCTTGAGTACATAGACCCAAGAAAGATACAGAGCAGTGAAACAAGGATCAGGTATTATCTAGGCTCCCACTCTCTCTCCAATCACTTTATACAAATGTCGATCCCTCTTTGCTTCCAACAAAAGCCACCCTGTTAGCTTCACAGTTGAGTCAATGTGGAGAGTTTGAACCTAGGCTTCCCTAGTCCTGGTTCAACATTGGCCATGCTGGTTCAAGATGATGGGAGTTGTAGTCAAACACTTTTAGAGAGCACCATTTAAAAATTCCTCTGGACAATGTACAGGCTCTTTTGCAAGCAGACGTAGAAGTCTTTGGGGTAGCAAAATGGCTGTACAGGAACAGGATGCAGAATGTGGGCATTTAACACAGCATCTATGAAAGAGCCATGGAAATCCAGCTCTGCTTATGGTAAGAGGTAGGCACTGTGTGCAAAATTACTACTGGAGCAAAGATGCCAGGATGCTCTGGAGAGGAATAGGGGTAGAGCCAGTACCAAAGCCATCTGAGGGGAAGAGCATTGTCAGATGCTCAGCATAGCTGATAGCCTCTGGTTCCACCATTTCAGTCTTGCTTTCAGCCCTGTAATCTTTCCACCTGCTGATGGATCACTCACGTATTAGCTCAGCAATTGCCCTCTGTGTTCGCTTCTCAAGCTTCTCAAGCTTCTTGGCTACATCTCGCTTCAAGTCCCTGGGGAGAAAGAGGAGGACACTGAAACCAACTGAGCCCAGGTAAGCATGGACACACTTGTGCACTGAGGAGAAAGTGGAGGCAGAGCAGAGACAGACCACAAGGGCCAGTCCTTCATAGGGATGGGGGCCAAGGAAGTGAGGAAAGAACCAGGCCCTTGCAATCTGGAGTGGTTGCAGGAAACTGAGAACATATCTAGAGTGCTACAGAAGAAATAGCCATTGGCTTAAAAAAGAAGGAAGCCACTGAACTGAATTGCCAGCCCCTTGAGGGAAGTCTTGATTTATGGCCCATTCAATACCTCCAAGTGCTCTGAGCAGAGAAGTACATTTCAAAGGAAAAAAAATTATCCCCATAGCTATAATGTGTCAACATCATTTTTAAATGTCAGAGGCCACCAAACCAAATAAAGCTTTTTAAAAAGAACTTGAGAAAGGAAAAGCGAGAGACTGAATCTAGTTAAAATCTTTGGCAATGTAAGTGCAAGTTTTACACTTCCCTCTGAAGACACCACAGTTGGAATTTACCCTCAGCCAGAGACGAGGGAAGTGTGGCCCTCCATCTGTTGTTGGACTACTGACTCACGTCAGCCTTAGCCAGCACAGAAGGTGACAAGTGCTGATGGAAGCTGCAATCCAGTCCCTGTTGCTGCATTAGACTTTCCTGTTGTTATTGTGTGCCTTCAAGTCCATTTCCAATTTTTGGTGATCCTATCATGGGGTTTTCTTGGTAGAATTTGTTCAGAGGGGGTTTGCCATTGCCTTCTTCTAAAGCAGAGAGAGTGTGACTCTATGACTGAGAGGGGAATCGAACCCTGGTCTCCAGAGCTGTAGTCAAACACTCAAAACCACTACAACACATTGGCTCTTTACTATGGCGGATTAGATTGGAGTCTTTCCCTGCTGGTTGCCAGAGTCTGATCATCATTGGTGACCATATTAGTGGATTATTGGACATGTCTGGTTAATTACTTTGATCTTTCTATATTTTTTTTAAAAAAAATAAAGTTGGGAGAGGACCTCCAGGCCTTTTCAGACCTTCATACTCACCAGTCAGGTTTTCTTGGTGCAAGATTTGCTAAATCCTATGAAAAGCAGAAGGAAAAAAAATAATACAAAACATTCCAGGTGGATAGACTCAGCCATGGAAACCAAAGCTGCCCTACGTTTGCAAGATCTGAACAGGGCTGTTGATAAAAGGGAGACCTGGAGGTATCCATGAGTGTATGTGCCTTCAAGTCACCTGCTGACCTATGGCAAGCCCATGTATTTTATGGGGATTTCCTAGGCAAGGAATGCTCAGAGGTAGTTTTGCCAATTCCTTCCTCTGAAATATAGCCTACAGCCCCTGATATTCATTAGTGGTCTCCTGTCCAAGTACTAACCAGGGCTGACATTGTTTAACATAGTATTTAGACCTCCTCTCATAGGATGCCATAAGTCAAGTCTGTTCTTAAGAGCTGCTAATTATCATTGTAACAAAGGAGATTCAAGGACCTCATCTACATCAGCAGTTAGGAAAGTGTGTATTCGCAACTACAAAACCCCCAAATCCCTTGTTTGCATCCCCACAATCCCCTGGGTAGTTTCCAGGCTAATCCAAGATTCCAGAAAAAGGAAAATTCAGGTGTAAAATTACCTGACAATGAATCAAAATCATACTAACCACCATGAAAATATGGTGGCTCAGTGCAATTTCCCTCCTTCTTCTTGTTGTTGTTTTGTGCCTTCAAGTCGTTTCTGACTTATGGTGACCCTAAGGCAAACCTATCTTGAGGTTTTCTTGGCAAGTTTCTTCAGAGGGGTTTGCCATTGCCATCCTGAGGCTGAGACAGTGTGACTTGCCCAAGGTCACCCAGTGGGTTTCCATGGCAGAGCAAATATTTGAACCAACACTCAAACCACTACATCACACTGGCTCTCAGAATTTCCCTACTACTAATCCCCAAACCATTTACTCATCCTCCAAGATACCTCCAAAAATGTCTGATCTGGTGCTAAAATTGATTAAGGGCTAAAAGTGAAGTGATGTCACTTCCAGCCACCTGGCATATATCTGGGCAACCTGTTAGAGCAGTGAGAGGGCAAAGTGAGTCCCTGGCCCCCACTCCCACTCCAAGTGCCCATCCTTGACTGAAAGATAGGAAAGGTCAACACATACCACTTCTTCAATGATCGGTTCCGGTTTGGCCGCCTCCAGCTGATCTTTCACCTTGTCTTCCACTAGAGGGCAGAAGAAGAAAGCAGAACTTTACCAACAAGTTGGCTCAGAAGGAAATCAGGATAACACAAACAAAGGCTGTGGGAGGGAGGCTGCAAAGTTGTCTAGGGATTTCTAGAGCAAGTTTTTGATTCTCAACACTCATGGGACCAAACCAATGCAAGGTGACCTCCTTGCTTCAACAAAGGCAGTCCATGAACCACATGTAGAACCCCAAACTACGTCAAAGACCCTTCTGAAAATGACTTCCCATGTCTCCTAGAGAGTGGTGGGGTCAACTTTGCCACATTACCCCCACCCAGCCATTTTACATTGATTCCTGATTTACCAAAAGGCATCTCCTAGGCTTAAAAACAGACTTGCAGGTATGGGGGTCCTTTTTCAGCAAAAGAATTGGGTTTTTTTTAGACAGATAGATAGATAAGATAGATAGAGATAATAAATTGGGATAGATAGATAGATAGATAGATAGATAGATAGATCTCCAGGGTCTTGAGATTAGCAATGCATTAACACCTAGCAGTTGCCCACTCCTGATGGACAGGACACACATAAAGTTGCTTAACAGGTGTTACTTTCGTATGTAACTGCAACTGCGTAAGCGAACTCCAAGCATGTTGGAATACAACTCCCAACGCATGCGTTGCAGTCCAACGCATATCGAGGGGGTCCCGTTTGGAGACTGCTGAATTAAGGACATGAAACCCTCCCAGTGATCTCCATGTCTGAAATCCAGCTGCCAGTTCCAGTTAGAGCAGAATCACTTAATAAGCTTCTGAAGGATAAATCAATACTTATGTGAATCCTACTCTTATGTGAATGGGTACAATCTAGCAAATGGAAACAGACCCAGGGAATTGTGTGGCACTAGAATTCCTAAGATGCCCTCTGGCAAAACCACAGCTAAAAGGTTTATAGCTGGAATGCAGCTGTGGTTTTAGCCAGGCCAGTTTGGTTGAAAAAAGAAAAGAAAAGCAGTCCTGTGCCCTGATTTCTAGCTAATTACAGTGGGCCCTTTGCTGGGGCTAAGCCTCCCTTATTACCCTGAGACTGCATCTCAGCCTGGCTGCCATCAACCGTGGGTTTTAAAAAATTAAATATTCCTTCAACTCAATCCATGGATGCTGAAATCCACCGATACAAAATCCATGGATAGTAAGGTCCCACTGTATTTTTTTTTTTTTACCTGAGAGGATACCTCTCTAGGAATCTCTAGGTCCTCCAGTGCAACTCATATGGTCAACATCTGCCAGAAGCTGACCACAGAATTATGCTGGAGGATCTATAAACACCTAGACAAGTGTTCTAAGAATCTCTAGGTCCTCCAGTGAAACTTCTGGTGAAAGTTAGCCATAGAGTCATGCTGGAGAATTTAAAGATTCCTAGAGAGAACATATTAACCAAATCAGTGAATAATCAAATCCGCAAAAGTCAAAGCCGCAAATCTAGAGGGCCGACTGTATTAATTCTGATTGCATATAAACGTACTTGCCCCTAGGGTCTAGGACAGATGCGAGAAGTAGCTTTGCAATCCTTGTCCTTGACAGTATTAGCCAAATTTTGAAAACAGAAACCTATCAATGGTGATTTCCTAGGATAGTTTATGGGAGCCTCCATCTTCAGAGGCAGCATAAGCCAGAGAAAGTGGGCTACTGCCTTTCTGATTCACTTGGTCATTGCTGGGTGAGTCAAGAACTTGGATGTATTTTGGACTCCAGCTCTCAGATGCCCTCAAAATGCTACCTGGAGGATTCTGCGACTTATGGTCCAGAGCTTTTTAAAAGTAACGTTTCCAAGTTCTAGGTAAGACTAGTCCATTTCAGTGGAGCTCTTCTTACACTCTTCTTTCCAAACAGTCCCTTACCTGAGGCAGGCTTGGCTTGAGGCACCGTCCGTCCCTTGAGTTCTTCATCTTCTGGAGTATAATTCCGCAACTTGAGCTCCCTAGAAATGACAAGAGGAGAATTAAAATACCTCCAACTCTTGCACATGATGCCACAGAAGTAGGTCTTTGGTTATATGAGGTTATTGTATGGTCCCTTGTCTGACCCTGGACAGGGTCCCCCAGGTTTAGATCATGACAAAAAGCCAAGCATACTTAATTCTGAATGGGATCTATCCATGGAATCTGGGTGTGTTCAGTAAGGGCAGCGAGAGGAGATCACAGGGACTGTTTGCCAACACATTTGCATTGGTCTGGGGATGACAGATAGGCATAGTGCTCAGCAGAGAGAGGAGCAGCAGAAAAAAAAGGCTGCTTAAAGCACTATTTTGCTTTTGTGTTGCATGCGTCTCCAACAGGTCAAGAAAGAATGGTTAAACCTAGGGCTTGGAGCAGAAAAGGTCATCCAGGAAATATAGTTGATTTGGCACTGAGAGAAGCGTTCATATGAACTAGCCTATCTATTATTCATGCCTATTATTTATTATTCTCCTTACAATTAGAATTGTAAAATTTCCAGAATTTTTGAAGCCACGGGGGCCATTTTTTTCTCTCTCATGTGTTTTTTGAGGGAAAAGCAGTTGCTTTCAGAGGGGAAAAAAATTAAAACTGCAATACTAATGCCCTTTACAAACTGCAAGTCATTTTGCTGCTTTAGGAATAAGAAATGCATTATGTATGATTTGGTCTGGTATAAAATGACCATGTTTGATACATTAACATTACAGTCTATTTAGAATATACTTAAGACTGCACTACCCTGTAAATTGTTCTCAATCTTCTGAATTGTTTTATAAAGTTGGCCCTCCACATCTGCATCTTTGACTTTTGTGGATTTGATTAGTTGTGGTTTTGATTAATTTGTTCTCTCTAGAATCTCTAGATCCTCCTGAGCAATTCCGCTGGAAGCTGACCATAAAGCTGTGCTGGAGAACCTAGACATTCCTAGAGAAAACACTTCTCTAGGCATCTGTAGGTCCTCCACAATGATTCTATGATCAACCTCTGGCAGATGTTGACCACAGAGTTGCACTGGAGGACCTAGAGATTCCTAGAGAGGTATTTCCTCAAGTAAAAAAGAATAGTTTTTTTAAATTTGCGTTTTTTCCACATTCATGAGGGTCTTTCTCAGCAAATGTAGAGGCACTACTGTACCTCGTACTCTTCTGTGGCTTTCCACTGTTTAAATCAGGGGTAGGCAACCTAAGCTTAGAGGCCGGATGCAGCCCCCTGAGGCCTCTGGACTGGCCCCAGGCCGGTCCTGCCGCCCCCCGCCATGATGATATTGATTATTGTTGTTATTACTTGTTCCTGGAGTTTTCTTGGCAAAATCTCCACAAGGGTTTTGCCATGGCTTCTCTGGGGCTGAGAGAGTGTGCATGCATATTTCTGTATTTAGCTTCGCCCCCCCCCCATTGTCTGAGGGACAACAACCCGGCCCCTGGCTCAAAAAGGTTGCCTACCTCTGGTTTAAATCCTTCTGCTGTGCTGTGTCCTGAGAAACTGTGATATAGATCAGCATATATAGTACATACATACATACGTACATATAAACAGCAGCCTATATATTGTATCCCAGAAAGGATTTGCTTTTGGGCGTACAGAAAAAACTGGCTGCACCATCCATCAGTTCCTCAGCAACAGAAATGGATGGCAGCTATTTGAGCTACCCCCAGTTCCCACTCAACCTTGCGGCTTATTAC